CTCCGCCCTGTTTTTTTCTGATCCATCTGTCCCTCATCTCACACGATATCAGCTCTGATTTGTCACACACATTTAACACAGTATCTATTCTTTGGTTTCCTCGTGATAACTTCTTAATTTATTTTCTGCCCCACGGAATTGGCTCAGGTGTCCTTTCACTGCATTATTTGTTTACATATAATGTATTTTCTCCAGTATCAATCCTGTTGTTCTTTTCTTGTGTTATTTCCAAAATAAAGCTCACCTCGGTTTTTTTCCTTACCCCCATTGTTACTGTCGTCCACATTTATAATTACGTAAATTTATCATTCTCATTTCATTATCTTTGTGATAACCAATCACAGTACAAAGATTCAAGAACTAGATAAGGATGAAACCTTTAATAGATTCATTGAAGAGAAAGATAAAAGAGCTTGAATAGCTTCAGAATTCTTTGAGATTTCTTGAGAAATGGAAGATTAAAAAACACTGTAGTTGTGGGCGAGCTTCTGAGGACAAGCCAAGAGTTAGTTTGTAATATTACGCTGAAGATTTCGTCCACTCGCAACTCGACTTTTTTTATAAACAATTATGAGAATTATTGAAGAACACCGAGAGCGCATTCTTCCAGATATATCAGCGATGGAAAGATACCAGGGCAAGTAGAATATTTGGTTAGCAAATTTGACAGTATTTCATTCGCCAATAATGTTTTGTAACTAATTCGAATTAGATAATAAGCTTGTGCAATTTTACGACTTTAGACATTTGTATTACGAAATATTTTTAAGAAAAATACTTAGCCATGGTACTGCCGCTGTCAGGAGTATATGCTGCGATAGCCAAAGAACAGGTTTTCAAGAAAAGCAGCTAATTAATTTACAGACGCTTAATTCATTACAGCCATCGAGATTACGAATGAAGTAAATTTGAGAGCTAAATAACAAAAAATAAAGAAATAACACAAGCTATGCGTGAAAATGTTTATTTTGTTTCTGTTGCCTCAAGGGATAAATGGTTGTTTATATATATTTAATACTAAATTGTATAAAAGATTTTTCATATTTTAAGAGGAAACTGGGTAAAAAATGGGAAGAGTTAAGGTTCAAGGAGGAATTCATTTGAGAAAATAATAAACCAATGATCAATCAAGCAAATCAGTTCTAAAAGCGCAGTATATTAAGGTTAACAAATATGAATATGTGATCGTTAGTAAAGAATGACAATACTATTTATTGCAATTGTCTACGAAGCGTTCGCTGTACAGCACCTTATACATCTACTTATCCCCCGACCCTATAAATTTAAATTCGCTTGCTAACTTAATTAATGTCAAAATATACTGAAAGGGAGATCTTTGGGAGAAACATAAAAAATTACTGGCAACCAAAAGCGTTCCTCCGCCGATCATGTAGGTCGATTAATCGTATCTGGTACAATGGGGTCTACAAGACACACATTATATTTCCGGAGACGTTTCACACACACATCGTTCCAGTTATGTTATGTTCTTGCTCTGCGGTGTTTATTGAACTATACTATAAGTTTCTTTTATCTTATAGATGTCAATGTTTCTTCAGAATATGAAAGAATTCGAGGGTGGCGTGAAATACAATGTTAACAGAATTTGATAACTGACAGATGTGGTCGTCTTGGGGATTAAACCAGTCCGTCAAAATCCGTTGCTAGTGGACATGAGACGAATTTCGAAAAGTTGAACGATCCCGTGAATGATATATTATATTGTATCACTGATGTGGATGTAATTGGTCCAGATAATAAACAAATACGAGTAACAGTTTCGTTGACAAAAGTTTGTACATTTCTGTGCTTATGTCATTACATACACGAGTCATTCCACGTCAAAAAGCACAAAACATCACTTCTTTTTAGCGTCTTGAAACGTTTTTATGAGTTCTAGGGTTCAAAAGAGATTACACGTATTTGTTTTGTAATCCCACCCCTTTAAGAAATATTAGTAATTATTTTTCCAAAAAATAATGCGCATGCTAATGTTTAAATTTTTTTGCGCAAATTCCGTTTGAAAAAAATAAAATTACACTTAAATTTATCGCAAAAAGTTGAAATTAGGCAGATCTATACAACATTAGGGTAATTACATTCAGTTAAATTTAACTACACTAATGTTGTGTAGATCTGCCAAATTTCAAAGTAGGACATATATAAATAACATTTTAAACAAATAGTACGTAGGCAGCATGCTGACCACCGGACTCGCTGGTCAAACCACGGAGCGTGAAGGGCACGACGAATCGCGATACGTCAATGATACGACGAATCCAAACCGTAACCGTGACCATAAGACTTATGTCATGCTATGAATCGCAGAAACTCACATACGATCTGACTTCAATGGAAGTCTTCTGACGAAATGCGACAACTGACACAGCTGATGTATTCCTGAAACTGCAGCCTTCTTTCTCAGATATACTGAGTCAGTTGTGTAAACAGAGGAATCCGCGAAACATGTTCGTGATTCTGTGAAGTTATCAACCACAGAGTCTTACAATAATACGAATACTATTGTTATTTGCTTTTTCTTAATATGAAAATCTATAATTACAGAAGTGTACGTTAAGGTTGTTACAGCTAGCATTCTTGAGAAGTTGAAAATTGATCTGTTGCCGTCAAAAATGCTATGGGTACTGGAAAAACTATTTTCAATATTCCTTCTCGTGACAAGTAAAGTGAAGTGAAGGTTTTTCAAGAAAGTGAGAATTGACCATATTCGTTAATGTCGCTAATAAGTTGGGCAGTGCCAATGATGAATAAACTAGCCTCGTTAGTCCTGGTCACCCTAATGTATCATCTGGTATGAGTAATGAAGAAACTGACCAAGTAAGTTCGCCTTCTGTTTCTTCTGCTGCCTTCGCCCATAGTTTGCCGTCTTCTTCTCTAATCATGAGAAAACAAAAAGCGACGCAACAGGTTTTCATTGCCCATTGTGATTATTTAAAAAAAATATTCTTTCACACTTGATTTATTCAGAGACTGATGTGAATTAATTTCTTAGATACTATGAATCCTTTTTCACTATTCTTAAAATGAAGTAAATAATTTAAAAATTTAAATAAAAAAAATTTTGTGGATGCCTGAAACACGTCCAGAATTTAAATCAATCCTTTCAGTGTAAACTCATAACACTTTTCAAGTATGATTATGACAGTGTTAACAGGCATATTTTTCGAATGAGGTCAGTGCCTAGTAGAACGAAACAAAGAGTTTATGCTACCACAAAAATGCCTTCAATCTGAGAGCTTAATGGCATTTCTTGGCATCGCAACGTTTTAGGGTAAGGGGCCATGAGGCTGAAGGAGGGGGTAGGGCAACTATAATATTCGCAATAAAAGCTAGCCTTCAACCCTGACAGGAACATATAATTTACCCAGGAATTTATGGCTGATGATAATGTGAAGAACATTATCTTTATATTTTTAGCAACGCTGAACAATACTTAAAAAGAGGATATTGCAACAATGATGTAATAAAAAAAGTAGTAGATGGAAAGGAAATACATAGTTTCATTTCTTTATGAAAAGGTGAATTAAAGATATTCTCTGTAAAGGGCAGTAAAACAAATATCAACGTAATTTACTGTATCACATACTCTTATTCGTATAAATATTCCGTCCGTTCAATACTAAATTCAATCCGTTTGACACTTCTCAATTTGAATTTAATCGGCTATGAAGATCATATGTATGCATACGGCACATGTGAAGGGATACTTTTATTTATTGGTCTGCGAAAGTATATTGATGGTAATCGTCTACTGCTGATGGCATGTACTTGAGGGGGGACTCTCTAGAAGACGCTGCAGCAAAACAGCACGTTGACTTCTCTATTGTATTTAATTTCTTAAAATCATTTCAATGTCTCACTTAGTAACTTACCAAACTTGTGTAGAACTTTTCAGAAATTTCAGTGTTTTTTTTAAACTGTCGGGTTTTCGGACAAGTTGAAAAAATAAAAATTAAATAGGACAAAAATTAGTTTTAAAATATTCAATGAATTCAATATACACATCAAATAAAAGAGCATCTTTTTTCTTTAATGTTGCAAAGTATTAAATTTCCGTGACAATTACAGCACGAGTTAAAAATGATTAAATTTAGCGACGCGGATACTTTTTCTAAAATTTTGAAAATTAATATAATCTCAAAAAATTACATTTGGAAAAAATTAAAAACACGTGTTTCATATTTTTCCTTATACTTTTCACAGAAAAGGTTTTAAAATATGGAACATGAAGGTCAAATTTTCCTTAAATTTATGCTATTTGACGTAGAACGACCCATGTAAGGAAAAAAAAAATTTTTCATGTTGGTGTTTAGAAATTATTTTTCTTTTGTATTTAGTAGGTAATTATTATAAATATCATTGATAATCAGTAGCTAGATCGAATGCATTTAAGCTATTACAAATACCAATATCCTATCGCGATCTAACCTTTCGAATTCTGGCATTCACCCCAAATGGTCACCACATCGTATCAAAGCAGTAAAACTCCCTGAGGAGGGGAAAATATGCCGTCACAAGACGTGTAGGAATTATTTTTTAAGGTAAGGTATGTGAAAAGTATACTGTCAGAAAGAAAATGCAGAAGACGTTGACAACAATATAACAATATATATAACAATAAAAAAACACAGGATTCATGATGGCACTTCTATAATACTAAATCGACTATTAAAAGCTACATAGATCAGACTTCCGAGTATGGTCAAAAAATTGGTGGATGCATATTAGTCGGATTCAGAAAAGTTCTAAAAAGTGGGTAAAAAATTACTAAAAAGTATTCAGACGTATGCAAAAATGAAAATTTTATTTTGTAGGTCGAAACGCTAAAGAAGAAAGATACAAGTTGATGTAGACCGTATGAGATAAATTATTTTTTTATTTCACATTTGCATAATTAAAATCTGTTCTTGAAGAACATTTAGTAAATGATTTGTATTTACACAAATAGCATTACGTTCACTTAATTTTTTGTCACTCACCATTCTGTCTCCTTTGTGGTACTCCTTGCGACAACTTAATGGCATTCATTAGCTTGCATTCTGATTTCCCCTGCAAAAGAGAACATTTGTATTTATTTGAATGCATATATTACTCTTATCATCTTCCTAGAAAAAGAAATTCTACAGTTCACCAAAGAAAATAATAAACGGATTACCAATGAGAGGATTATTTTTAAAAGAATATTATCATTCTTAATTCCTTATTTAACTCATGTTATTTGAAAACGCTACATTTCATTGAAGGCTGGAGACAAATCCGACCATCCGAAATTTCCGGACTTCTTAGGTGTGCTATAAAAATTCAAGATCTGATGGAAAAATTAGTGGTGCTAAAAGAGCACGAACCCAAAATTGCACGAAAAGGATGCAAATTTAAAAAAAAACTATACAGAACAAAATTTCAAAATATATCTTAAAGTAACAGATTTCGCGAAGGGTAAAAAACTACCTTTAATATTCTAGTTGTGGGAAGACGCTGAAAAAAATATATTTGCAATTTTCGAAAAATTAGGGTTTTCAATAAGCATGAGACCCGCGCCATTCTCTTAAACGTCTTTCAGACTATCCACAAAAAGAGTGAAAAGATTGAGCCATTTTTTATTAATTTTAAAAATGATTCATGTAAACTACCCCCCCCCCCAAATTAAAATATCGACTTCAAATACAAATGGTCGTGACATCAGCTAGATCAATTGAGGAATATAAATTTCGGAGAAAATTGGCTGAACGGTTTAGGCACTTACGTTGATCACACTTCACAGGCGAATTGACAGACGGAGAGACGGACGGACAGAAAGACATTTTGCTTCAATAGTTTGGTATGAAAGGTCCTCAAAACTTGTATTCTGGCTACACTACGTGTTAGGGGATTTTTTTCTAAATTTAGCAACTGGATTTATCTACTCGTTACCAGGGCCTTGTAATTCTTCCTGTCGAGTTTTTAAACCGAAAATTCGCGGTTTTTCGCGCAGCATTATGTAACTTTGAACTCCGTAGCGAGAATGAAAAACACGGAAGAACTCATGAGCATAGGCAAGGGGCCACAGCTTCATCTAAATTATCCAACTTTTATATTCTCTCCTATACCATATACATAAATATTATTACCATATACATCACATATTTTTGTAAATTAACTCCTCTAAAATTCATTTTATGGCATATTTAATTTTTTCGGTCAATGCATTAAGCTTATTGTGTGTGCACAATGTACATATGAAAAGGCGAAAGAATATAGAAAATGAAATCTTTATCATATTTTCAGAAGCCCGCGGCTACTTGAGAAAGTTAAAAAAAATCTTCAAAATATTAAAAAAAATGTTTCTAAATAATTGATATTATAAAGAAGAATATAGGTATTAATGATTTCTTTCAAGAAAATAAAAGCTCATTTTCCTCATTTTTTATCAATTTTATATTTATGGTATATTTATTAAGAAAGTTACATAGTAATATCAAAATTTAATTTTTTTTTAAATTTAATTTTAAATGATAATTTATTATCATTTAATTATTGCGATAATTACTAATGGGATGAAATAATAATAATAATAATAATAATAATAATAATAATAATAATAATAATAATAATAATAATAATGTGTTGTTGAATGTTCTCAAAACGAGAGAATAAAACACTTACCCTCGTCGAAGAAATTTAGAGCCAACACGATATTCATAATAAGGACCATTTCCAAACCCGTAGCTAAGACCAAGGCACCAAATAACACATCTTTTTATTGTTTAATCTACGGCATAAATCTATTTAGCACCGAATATTTACATTTCAGTGATTTTCAAGCCCCAAACTTATCATAGTACACAATGCTCCAAGACATGGTAAGTATTAAATATTCGAGAAAAAAATTTGGAGTTTTTCGGAAAAAATTCATTTCAGCATTTTAAAAAAAGCACTATTTTGGACTGGCTTGTACTAAAAGCTATAAATTTTGGAAATCTTTATTAAAGAAGAAAATTTTGTTTGTACAATTGTATTAAATCATGAAATATATCAGTAATGTATATATTATCGACGAACAAATGATTTGAATGCGTTTTAATTAAGACGTTTTTATGTAAAAGACAATGTTTGTGCTCTATCCGAAAGTTGAAAAAACGTTTCAAAATTTGGAAACTCCAGTAATGATATGAAAAACCTAAACATGAGTTAATTTTATGTACTAAAATTGGAGAATCGATGACAAAATAATTCGCCTCATAAATGAAGGTACAGGACGTTTTAAGAATAATGAAGTATGAACTTTTCAGAGAACATCTAAGAATTAAAAACTCAGATTCAAATTGGCAGAGCTGAGGTCGTTCTATTGACAAATTGTTTCAATCTCTTTCAGACTTCGAAAGAAGCGGGCAGGTACGAATCCATTTTGTTTTCGGTAAAAACAGATTAGATTGCAGTGTTTACTTCTCATGGTCGTCGATACATATTTTTTGAGTAAGACTGATGGAAGATTATCCGTCTTAAAACCCTGTGTACGGTTCATGCGCTAGTTTAGTTCCCACGCTGGTGGAGAGACAAAAAAACACACACGTTTTCTCATGTCAAAATCGTCGAGATTGATTTCTTACAGCATTAAATATCTTTTTCTAAACTATGTTTACGATTACAGTTTTTACTATGTACTATGTTGCTCAAATTTCGATTTATTTTCACAGTCAAATCTCTCGCTTTGATTCACTCATTAATAACGCAACTCGCTCCGGGAAGAAATATTGCCTTGAACTCTAGTAGTATACCAAACTTATGCCGCGGTGAGGAAGGGAATATATTCATTTTCCTTTCCAGAAAGAGTTTAGATTCCAATGTTTACTTCTCATGGTCGTCGACTCTTGGTTCCAAACAGCCCTGCGGACAGACGCTGGGGGGAGCGGGTGCCTTGCCGCAGGAATGTCTGACGCAGGAGCTGCGCGAGTCACGTTGCGTCCAGGTAGGAGGGTACCGTTACGCCTGTGGCTCGCGCGACCTCCAACTCCCCTCCCTTCCCTTCGGCCCTTCCCAAAAAAACACGCTGACCCCCGGCCGTCCCCTCCGTTCGGCCCAGGAAAAATTCCGAGACAATTGATCTGGGTAAAAAGGGCCAACCTCTCGCTCGACGAGTGAGGCGGCGGCCTTTGGGTGCGCAGCCCTGCTTGCCTTGAGGGGCGCCTTAACAAGGCGTAATGCCTTCAAAGGGCTCTGCCCCCCTCGCGGCCCTTTTCCCTCCTTCGGATATTGACCCGCCCCTCGAGGACGCCCCAGCAGCCACATGCAGCGCGGGACTGGCTGCGGCGATGCCTCCGTGTGTGTGTGTGTTTGTGGGGGGGGGGGGGGTAATAAGGAAACGTAGAAGCAAAAGACTATCGCAGAGCTTGACTTTTCACACGTGTGTTGAATTTTTTTATTCAATTTTAATGATCAGCCAACGAGTAAATTGTACAGTTACCGCTCATCTCTTTAATTACATTATTAAATAAACGCTACTTCATTCACTCTTTTCATTCATGTACAGTGTTAGAAAAGTCAATAACTTACACGTTAACGTATAAATGAGCATGTGAAAATTAATCAGAAACCACAATAACATTTAGCGGAATCATGTAAACCAATGGGTTATCAAGAGAATCAGTCAAATGTTATCCTTTTATGTGTCAAGAAAATAGAAACCAATAATAACGGATGGAGGTATCTTAGGGAACATCGTGTTGTGGTCAATTGAAAAACTAAAAAATTGTTGTTTTAACTATTGCTGATAAAACTTTTAATACAACTTACGAAATTATTATTTTTTTTCCACCGGTCATTATTTGTTACTCTGCTTAACTTCTGTGAGAATTCTCAGAATTATGTATGTGAGTTTATCTGTAAAGACAAACGTGATATCGAAACGTTGGCTTTATTAGTCTCCAATAAAATAAATTTGTAAGTATGATTTTTAATTGTCTCAATAAACATACTATACAATAATGCAACCAATTAAATCCTGGACAATTTACCAAGTCAATTCTTAAGTATTATTTTTTAGATCACATTCCAACGGTTCTATTTTGAAGAAACTTTCGATCCAGCAAGGTGCCATTGTGGTGACTACTACATTTTTAAAAGATACTTTAATACTCAATGCGACAAAAATGATACAAAAATTCACAAAATTATATTTTGTTAAGCTTCAATTTATAAGATGCAATGAATCATTAAATGTATCAAAATTTCTACAATCGTCCGAAACCGTTATTATTTTTACCGGAATGCGTAATAAGATTTGGAAATTTCAATTTCATTTTATAATACACTTAACGTTAATTCAACGAATACATATATTTATTACAAAAAAGAATTTCTCAATAGACAACCACAATAATTTACTTTACATTTTTTCCTGCGACAAAAAATCTAAAACTCGATCAAAATTACTGATAACTCCTTCCAAAAACGGCAAAAAGTAAAACAAACAAATTGAGAGAAAAATACTTTCTATCAAAATCCAACAAGAAAGGAACTGAAATGAATGTATCATTTCAAAACATATAGGAAAGATTTTCATACAGACGTTATTAGAGTATTCATTCACATGTTGTTATAACCATTCCTACTAAAATGTAAGATTCAGGTATGTTGTAAGTTTTAAAACTGGAATAAGGCTACATAAACAAAAATAAATACAAATATTGGTAAGGAATAAAAGTTTCAAAATACACAGATATACGTTATAAGTTATCATTAAATTATTATTCTAGTTCGCCACTTCTAGTAATCACATGAAAACAATGATAAAATGCATACTCAACGGTTTTATTTGAGTGGTACAATATCACCACAATATTTTAGTTTATTATTTCAGTTATTAAATTTAACTACTGCTGAGCAGCACAGATTCTTCACTTGACGTGACGACGTAAAATACAGCAGAATGGAATGGAAAACGACTCTCGTAAATCATGTAAGAACGAAGACAAAGTTGCGACTTCTGAACAATTTGTCAGGATATGTTCCCCATCCGACAAAATACGAGAGCACGTTTCGACTCACCCCATCCCCTAAGTCCTACCAATCCC